CTCTCCTCTCCTCTCCTCTCCTCTCCTCTCCCCTCCTCTCCTCTCCTCTCCCCTATGCTGGTCTCCCTCCATGGCTGCAGCTTGGCCAGACAGCGTGTGGGGGAAAGGGGACAGGCCCACAGAGCTCAGCTGTCAGCAGAAACCCGAGGAAGCCCCCATGGGCCAGAAGGTTCCAGGTGGAACATGAAGAGGAGAACACAGAGCGGAGACTGCATCGGATTCGGACGTACAGTGACAGGATGGGACATGGGGGAGAGGGCAACGACGTCACGGATGCGACACCAACAGGGCAGTGAGTGAGGTGAGGGGTGGGAGCAGTGGACTCCTGTGGCAACCAAGGCCTAAAGGAGGCCAGGGTCGGGCACTGCTTCTGGGGGACGGAGATTCTATCTCCTAGAATCACGAATGAGGTGGCCACCATCTTGACCAGCATTTGAGAGTTGGATTGAAAGGGGGTCTTCAGCAAAGGTAGAGTCGCCTCTCTTAGAACCGCCCATGGAAGCTGATTCTAAGGTCGGCAAGGGTTGCAGAACAGCAGTATTGTCAGTCTCAGCCCTGACGGGCCCGTAAAGGCTCAAGATGCTCCTGTCACTCAGGCCGAGCAGCCCTTCCCTTGGTGACAGAACAGGCCGCTAGCCTCTCCGTTAAGAACCAACCATTTGTCTCTCAGCACACAATTGTAGAAAGAGCACAGATTTCCCCCCTGAAGCTGGGGGTGTGTCTGCATGATGCAACTTCCCAGGGGTCTCTCTGGTGAGGCCATCTCACCAACCTTTGCAAACAACTCTCTACTCTCCTGGTAGAGGTAGCAGGACCCGGACCAACCCCTGGAAAGAAGGAAGAGCGAGGCCCCCATTCCACCCCATGGCTTTTTGACTTGAGGATGTGAGAGTCTGTAACTGTCACCTCCCCAAGCCCTGCTGTCCTCTCCACTCCATGGAGGAGCGAGGTATAGCCAGCTGTTCCCCCAAGTTCCAGGCCAGACCAAAATTACTCTTCCCTCCTCCATTTCTAGGAAAGGAAGGAGGTTGTGCCAGAAGAGGAGGCTGGGCCAGGGACAACATCAGAGTTTCTCTTCATCCACATCGAGGCCACCCTAAGAAGTCATTTAGGGTATGTCCTACCCTGAAGGAAGCAGGGACGTTTTGTCCAGTTTGTACTCGCTGGAAAGCACCCTGGCGACTAGCAAAGCACCATGCTACAAGTCCTACCTCCTGCCTCTGTCCAAGAGCAGCTGGATCTGGGGTTTCAGCCCTGACCCTGGCCCCACATGAGCCTTTCCGGACCCCAAATCCAGTAGCTCTTCAGCAATCTGCTAGGGCCAATCCAGGAGCCAGGCAGACTGCGGCACCCCAACTCAGCATCTACACATTGTGGGTAGAGAGGGTTCCCCGCCACCTTACACCTGCAGCCCCATGTGGCATATCCCTCTAGCACCCATTTCAAGTTGGGAGCAAAAGCTGCCTCAAGGACACCCAGACAGCAGACCAGAGTCCACCCCAACATGTGTGTCCACTCTAGGACGAGTGTGTGCTGACTTTCTGTCTCAGTGTTTGCTTGAGCGTGCTTTGTTCTCAAGAGCAAACGAAGCCTGACACACGCAACAGGAAAGGTATTCCTGACTCAACGACTTCTCGTGCGTGTGAGCACTGCTCACACTGTCCACTTGTGTTAGCCCAGCTGATCCTCACAGCCAGCCAACGGGGAGGGAAGGAAGTACAGTCCTGGGACTTGAACCAGCCAAGCCCCAGCTGCCAGTAACCCACCCTACTCACTGACCCGCCACGGTGACTTTGGCATGAACTTGTTGAGGTTGCAGGAATCCCAGGACCTGGGTCTTCCCCGTTCTAGTCCTCCTCAACTCCACCTGCTGCCAGAGGAACCTCCCCAGAGTATTCGGGTCCAAAGAGTTCATTGTGAAAAGCCTTGATGTTTGTCTATTGACCAAATAATGGTGTCTAGTCGTGTGGTTCTTCATGACAGGGACATATTCTGAGAAATGTGTCATGAGAAACAATGCCACCCATGCAGGTATCATACAGTGACTTTAGGGCACATGATATCTCTAGTGTTCCTAGGCTCCAAATCCTCACAGCATGTTACTATGCCAAATCCAGTACGCATGTGTAATACATGGTAAGAAAATCTAAGCATGCCTGGGTATGGCGAGGGCCTGATATAGCGGTGTACACCTGTAATTCCAGCCCTCTGGAGGCTAGGCTAACCAGGTGGCGAGTTTAAGGTTGACTTGGGTCGCATGGTGAGATCCTATCTCAAAATGGGAAAGCGAAGGAAAAATGGAGGAGGGTAGAGAAAAACTGCTAGGCAATAAACAGGAACTTCACGGCCCCACAGTAGTCTTTGAGGATCACTATTGCCTATCAAGTCTGCCGCTGACCAAGCATCATTACACAGCATGTGGCCACAGCCCCTCAAACACACGAGATGAGAAGGGAGAACCGTTAGATTTGGGAGAAAGGTTGCTCTTTGGGTATGTTTTCCAGAGCCGAAATCTCAGAAATGATCACCAAGTCCACATCCCACCTGAGGCACCTAAGAGACCCTCAGGTGGAAAAAGGGGGGATGGACAAAGGGGAAAGCCCAATTCTGGCCTGACCCCCAGCCCAGATGCTCCCCATGCAGGTCATAGCCATTCTGGTTGAAGCTGTGCGGCCGCCAGCACACACTGAATGGCCCCGGGGTGGCCATTCAGGACCTCACACCTTCTAATGTCCGGGGCAGGTGGGTGCAGAGTCCAGAATAAGGCAGTCTCCAGAGATGAGACCCCCGTGAGGCAGTCAGGTAGCGG